ATCTTGGGATCTTTAAATGCACATATAATTATAAAATAAAATCGAAACAAATATCTTCCCTTGATCTTGATTCTTCTTCTATTTTTCTTTCTATTTTCTCTTCGACATATTTTTTATCCGTACAAATCCATACGTAACAATTCGCCATAGAAAGGAGAAAACAGAAATTGCGAAACAAATGCACATTTTATTTCGCAAATTCTATCTTCTCCGGCTCTTCGTCGATCCTCCGATCGTCGTGCTACGCACTTTATGCCCGCGCAATAGCATAAATCAGCCCGAGAACGGATATAACTATCCACCTCGCTCTTCCTCAATGCATTCCAATGTGTTGTCCATCCACGCATACAATATTCTACGTTTACATGCAGACTATGTAAACTATCTTACGTATAGTCTATGTAGACGATAAGCAATGACCAATGACAACTTTACTTTTTTTGCAAAAAATAAAATAAATGATTTTTTGCCGTAGAATACATTTTTTCACACACACATATGCGTATATGTCGCAACCAATACAAGAAAATTCTATATAAATACCATGTATGAAGATATTTGCGAAAACCATGCAAACATGCAGTAGATACATGATGATTATAATCCTGATTTATCGCATTTTCTATGTTGATATGTTTATAAATGCGCGAACTATTAAGTTACAAAAATTACGTGAAGCAAGACAAAAGTGTAAATATACCCGATCGATTCTCAATCTTCGACATCGATCAAGGTAAAATGGATTGGAGCGATTCAATCGGACGCAGGGAAAACTTGCTTGATTTCAATTAACGCAGCCTGTATTAATAATAGCTCTGTTACAATTACTACGAGAAACGAGATGGTAGCCAGTTGATAAAAATGAAATACTCTCTTTTGATTGATTAGAAAAGCTCGTATGTATATAAGATATATTTTTTAAGGATCTGAACTTGAGTAGACTTTTGATATCAAAATCATCAACCCAAGTTTATTAGATATTTTTTTATCCTCATAGAATTATTTTACAATTATGACAAAAGATATTATATCGTAGTAAATTGATAAAAATAGAATTTTAACAATTTAAGGGTTTGTGCTTGTTATACCTAATACATAATTATTTTAACGATATCAAATTTCTGATTTCTTTCACGGAAAATTAATCTGCTATAATAAAATAATTAGATTTTGCATTAGACATCTCGCCACAAATGATCGTTTCTCAACAGAAAAACTAGTGTTAATACCATATTAATAATTTGCAAGTCATTACTAATAAAACGGATAATAAACTAAAAACATCGCACAGTGAATGTAAAATGTAGAAAATAATATTCGGAAACAGTCCCTACGGCAGACGACAAGAAATGGATCAACAAATTAATCGGTGTGAGAGCATTGACGGAAGCACGCATCGTCTCTCACGAGACTATTCAATTCTCTAGCGGTGCCGACAAAGTACAACTTCAACAATAAATTCGAGTTTCTTGCCGGTCGTCGCGGCGAGGATAAAACCGACGATTTAATTCTTCCGCAAGAACTTCACCGAGCCAGTACAATCGTCGCGGTCGATCAATCGACAAGACTTCTTCGCTCTCTTTCTCCCATTTTGACTCGTTCGCTCCGTATCATCGTATGTGGTTACGTGTATGTGTGTGCATTATGTGTGCAATGATCGAATCAGAACGAGAAAGAACAGAGGAAAACGGCAGACCGGCGAGATAGTTCGGTCCGGCTGTAGAAAAGCGAGCGTTGCAGTGTTGCAAGCAGATCGAGAGAGTCATGTCATCTCTCTCCTTTTCTATTCCTCGCCCACTCTCCTATCTCCCTTTCTTCACTCGGATCGTCTTTCCCTCCTCTTTCGACTGATTAATCTACGGGCGCGCGGTTAATCGTTTAACCGGCGCTCGATAGAGCAGTTTCTAATTAGCGGAATGGAATGGAAGAGGCGTGATCGAATCGCTCGACTAGGGAAATCCTTTGCTAGGCAGGACCGTCCTTAGGAAGGAGACGCTGGTCGCGTAATTAGATAGAAAGGGCTGGAGTAGAATAACCAAGTTAGAGCGAAAAGGAACAAGAGAAGAGGGCGGCATAGATGGCTCGTGCTCAGCACGAAGAAAAGCCAGGCGAGGATAAGAGTTAGGAGAGCGGGTTGCTGCAAATTGAACCATTATGACTACCTAAGCAACCAAATCGACTCGAACTTGTACCGAGAATCCTGCCGAGAATAGTTATACGAACCCTCAACCCTGTGAAGAGCTCTTTTTCGCACTAAAAGCGAGCAAAAACGCATAACTAGAGCGAGCCGAGAGCCGATGCGTTAGCTGCGAAGAAATCGACAATGAATGGAGAGAGAAAGAGACCGCCAAACCAGAGAGAAAATATGAGTAATATGACAGAAAGCGCGCGTAAGCATGCTGCTGCAAATTGAACCATTACAACTAACGATGCGAGCAAATCATTTCGAACGCGCTGGAGCATTTATCCTAGCAATACTATTTCGCGTAAAAGTAAAAGTCACGAGAATAAGTGCACCTACACAATGTTTAGGAAAAATTTATTGAAAGATACAATTTAAAGAACCAATCTGAATAAGTATTCCTCATCCTGGAAAGAGAATCGATGAAATTGCATAATATATCAAGCAATACATTTTTCTAATATCTAAATAATACACTGCATGCCTGAGAAATAAAAAATAATTGATTATAAATCTTATATTTTTTATATAACTGGAAATATAACAGCAATGCAAATATTAGAAGCCCTAGCCACCCATATCAATAATATTAATATTAATACTGCGATTATCGAAGAATATCTACTAGATATGCCGTGTGTGACTGATTGATAGTTAGGACAAGAATCGACATGTTGGAGGGGATGCGAAGAAAATGAAGAAAGTAAAATCTTTCGACGGTAATATACCGGAACGAAACTGAAAAGAGATTCTTCAAGTGAGGAAGCTTAGCGATTTCTCGCAGCAGGCGAGAAAATCCAGAATAGTTATGGTCTCATCCTGACGACGACCAGGGATGATCCGTATGATCCCCGAGCACCGCAAGTTTTCCCGCGTTAATGATCGCCGACACTTGCCCGGGGCACGCCTTCTTCGAGTTTCGATCCTCGCGACTTATTGGAGTGTCACGGAGCAGGATGAGGAAGAACGCGGAGCAATGCGTTTTACAGGAGCGTGCGGAAGGCGTCGCCCTGAGTGAAGAAGACGATAATGACGGCCGGCCCCGGTCTTCAGTCTCGTTCGAGGTGAAACGACCGAGAAGAAGACCGGGAAGAGGATGATCGAAATAAAAGCCTCAGTGCGTGTAGTTATGTGCCGGTTTCTTCCGGTTGTGGCCTTGGATAAAGGCTTCTTAAACAGACGCCTACCGAAACAAGTGGAAAACATGGGAACATACTCTCTCTCTCTCCTCTCTCTCTTTTTACCCTAATATAATATCGCAAAATATACTTCAATATACGCAACAATGCACGTAAATAAAGTTATGTAAAATATATCTGCAACATCTAATTTGTTACTACTCTTCGTATTTTATTCGTCAAAAATATCTAAGAACTTATGAGTACGCGATAAAACGAGATTCGATTAAAATATAGTGAGCAAATATAGTGAGATTTTAATACGTATAATGGCAATGTCCTTAAATGACGTGATTCTCGTTGCTCTAATTTTCAATTGTAAATAAGTTATTTTTATGCAGAATCAAAAACGTCGACTCGCGTGAACAAATCAAAATCGCGTATTAGGAAAGGCAAAATACAGATATATGCGATTAAAATAGTGATATACGCAAAGAAAAATATCAGTATACAATTTGAATGAAAAATTCAAACTGCTAACGATTGAAAAAATAAGATTACACATTACATTTTACAATGTTGCACGCGTAGCATCAAACAGTACCAGAAAGCACGTAACAGTCAATAATGAAGAGCCACCTGCGAAAAGGTATAGGGCTCCGCGTTTCTTTAACGGGAAAAGACGCGCCGCGCCGGCAAGGTGGGCGAAGAAGGAGAGGGCGACGGGGAACGAAGAAGCGGACGCGCCACCGTAGAAGGTGGGGTCGCCATGGTTGTGGTCCGCCTGGGAAAAAGAGGACCACGCATTGTAACCCAGGGAGCGAGGAGGCCACGCTAGGCTGACCCTAGGCTTTACATTAACCATCCACCGTGTACACACGCACGTAAATAGCCGTATCGGCCACCCCCGGCCCCGGGCCCAAGTTTGTACCTGTTGCACCGAGTAATCATTGCCCTGCGGGAGCAGCTCCCTTTTGTCCTCCTCTTCCCGGTCTCTCCTCCGCCTCCTCGGCGCGGCGCTTTCCTGGGGATAAGATTGCGCTACGCGCGACAGGCGCGAAGGATCCTCTCATGCTCGCGGTAAACAGAGTGGAACGCGCGAGAACATTCCCGAAAAGACCCTTTCCAAATCTCGCGACAAATTATCGGAACACATCGCAATTAGACCGGCAAAGACTTTTGTTCCCGAAAATGTCGCACGGCGACGAACCTTCGCGCTCGCGAGAACAAACCTTGGCCCGGTTGGCCGTGAGAAAAGTCTTCGGAAACGGTTTTCGCGGACACCGCGGGATTTGGAGTGACTCGATAACAGAGGAGAGAACGAAAGTTATTCATTACGTGCGTCCGGAAGCGAGCGACGGAAGAGGAGGGGAGAAGATAAATCCGAGGAGTTACCATGTATACTTCCACGTAACTGTAACTGATCATAGGATCGCGATATTCTGAAGAGACGGTGGAAATCTCCGAGGCGCGTAGATTCCACTGTCATTCCTGTTACCTTGTACGAGGTAATTCTGACGCGGAGGAGAGCGAGGTTGGAAAAAAAAGGAGAAAAAGAACGAGATACGCGAGAGGAGATCGTACGTGTTGATATACGAAAAAGTTTCATCTTTCGCGGGATTGGGGAGGTTAGTTATACGTAGCGCGGTGCGAGATGCCACGGCGCGATAGGGGGTAAAAAAGTTTGCGCCGGTACTCACCTTCGGGGCAGATGCACTCGTAGTCATGTTCGCCGAGCTGATGGCACGAGCCTCCGTTTTCACACGGTGACGGATCGCAGGGGATGTAGTCGCTCTCGCAGTTTTGCCCGGTGTACCCGCTCGAGCACATGCATCTGCAAAAGCGAAAGCACACATTTTAAGAGAACGCGCAGAAAGGGGAGTTTTAACGAGGCACGAGGCATTAATTCGAGTTGTTGAAGCGAATAATTTCTTTTTGACAAGTAATCGATCTCTCTTATCAATCTTAACGATACAAATTGGATGCGCGGGTATCGAGTCTCCGCGAGAAATGTCAGGTAAAACGATCCAACAATTGAAAACGCGAAACAATTCCGTCGATATCACGTCGATGTCGATGCCGCGGCCGCGACAAGAACGTAACACCGATAATCATACCGTAATCCGATGCGGTCAGTAATTGCAATACCGTTCGAAGGAGATAGTACAAGCGCGATTGCAACAATTACGGGAATCTATTGAATGGCACATAAATATCTTTGGTAAATGAGTTGGTAAAAATCGTCAAAGGTCAAATGTCGAAAGAATTTCACTTTTGTGTAAGAAAGTTCATACACATATATTACACATATGTTGAATCACGTGATAATCACTTTTGTTGTAAAAGTCACTATTCGCTTCTAAGAAAATGTTTCCACAAGTTAGAATAATCGTCGTTCCAACATGACACTTGTAATAACGATTATAAAACATATCTTAAAATAATGATCAAGATATACATGTGTTTTTGCAATATATTTCACGTGGTACTTAATTCAATTTAATTAAGTTATAATTTCATAATTAACATTTTTCGGATAGCGAATATTCATCTCTACATCATTTCTCCTAGCTATGAATGCAATTCGTTCACGTCTCATTTTTCGTCTCTAAAAGCTCGCTTTAGAATTACGATACTCCTACACCGATCCCACGTTCGTCAATGATACATCCATAACGGTGGATCCAATTTTATTTCATTTTGCGACGGCGATTAGCGCGAGATTTCATAGCGCGAACGTACCTCGAACTCGCGACGAGCAGCAGGAGCAGAAACACGCGGGTGAGATTCATTTTTGCTCGCAATCGATGCCCACGAACGGTCGCAACGATAAAACGTAATCCTCATATTTCGACGAGGAGCCTGGGCCGCGAATGTTCACTCCATTCTCGAAGAGCAAAGATCACGCTCGGTGTACCCTGCACCCTCCTGTTCTTCGGTTTCACAAAAAAAAAGACGTATCACATCCGTACATACAACACCTTGGCACTATATCCTTCACTTTGATAATTACGATATAACCTTTCACGGTTCACTATCGCACTGCCCGCGGGGGCCACACGCGCGAGCGTAATCCAACTCGGTGATCACAACGTAAACAAGACCAACGAAGAAGAAACAATCCCACGGTATACTCGACGACACACCGCTGTAGTAATAAACGAAATAATCCAACTGGGCGGTGGCCCGATGTCGACGATATCACAAGAATTCGCTGTGCGCGACAATTCGAATAAATTAATAACGCGTATATCTTCCGTATATCACTTCCTCGAATCGGCGAATCGGTATTCTCTTTATATTTGAATCCAACGGAATCGCGCGCCGACTCGCGCGGTGCGGCGCGTCCCGGGGTGACAAAAATTCCCGGGCGTATTCACCGCGGCGTTCTCGGAGCGCGGCTTTCCCTTCGTTCGCGGCACGACGCCAGCGAGCCGTCCGGCGTTCTCCTTTTCATCGTTCCCGCGCTACCTCGCGTCGCATCCGGCACGCATCTTCTTCGCCCGGAGCTCAAAAAAAAAAAATCCCTTCGCTCTCCGTATTCCGCTTTGACAGCACTAGGGCACCCGGCGAGAGACACAGGCGGCTTCTCCCCCGCTTCCCCGTACGCGTAGGTATCCCGCCCTTTTGGCTTTCGGCTCTTCGCAGCGCGCGTCGCGAGTCGCCACCTGTCAGCACGCGATCACCACGCGACCCACGTTCCTCTCACGATCGCTCCAGCCTCCGTTTGGCGTTTTCCAGCTTCCGCCAAACACTGACGTTAGAGATGAAGAGATGCCGATCCGCTTTACAATTTATATCTCACACTGTGTGTAACAAGAAAGTCGGAGCATTGCCGGAGTCGATCACGCCGTTGACGGAGTCAAACCGCGAAACCTTCACGTAGCCTTCGCGTAGCACCGGAAAGTTCGCGTATCCAGCTTAAATCCGTGAAAACTCGGGTCAAATTCTCGCCTCTCGTCGCTCCGAATTCTTCCGTCTCGAAGAAGTTTCACACACTTGTTGCTCGCCGGGTTCAACGGTCGGAAGAACGGAGAGGCAAGAACGCGCGCGCGCGCCCGCACAGTGTCCGGGATCAATTTCTCACGTAACTGTCAATTCGCATCGACGATCACTTCACTCGATTTACCGCGAATAAACCTGTATCTCGCGCCCCAACTCGCGAAATCAAAACGGGGGGACGCGCGCGCGAAACGTGCGTCGTCCTCGAACGGCTGGCGACTGACTAATCTTACCTTTCGCGGCGCACCGCTCAGATGGCAGCAGCGTCGCATTTCGCACGACCGACCCCTCCGCGCGTTCGCGGTCGCCGCCCCACCCCTTCGTCCCTTCGCCGCTTCGCCCCGTCGCGTCGCTCGGTCCGCGGTCGGTCGGTGGTCGCACGCGCTTTCTCTTTCTCTTCGCCGCCGTTTCGCGTCCGATCTGCGCTCTCCTCTCTCTTCTCTCCTCTTCTTTCCTACTCGCGCTTACTTACCGCCAGCCGTCGGCTCCCTTCGCCCTCGGCTCGCCGGTTTCGCGACGCTATCGTCTCGCTGCTCTGGGGCAGTGTCTTTTGCGCAAGAATGTCTTTCTCTTTCTCTCTCTCTCTCCCTTCCTTATCCTGCCACCTGAGAAGTCGATCAACCACCACCGACTTCGGTTAATGTAATTTAACGCGTCTTTTTTTTATCCGCGAAAGTCAGTAAAAAGCATAAGATATTTAATATCGACGGGATTTATAATAAAAAATTGAACTTTCAAATAAATGTAGACAAATTAAATAATTAGGTACTGGTTTTATAGCTTGCGTATATCTGTGTGGATCAACTTTTATTGTTCAATTCATATTAGTAGATCAATTAGACAAGATTTTTTAATGGAAAAATTATAAAAATATTATAAAATTAAGCAAGAATGTCAAATCGAATTCTCTCAAGTGTTTACTACACTTTTTTAACCATGAGAATGTGCAAATTTGAAATATCGCATTCTTCAAATGTACCTATGTTGTCGATCAACTACGCCGACTCCGGTAATATAAACTAAGACTATTCTTCAATGTGTCTTTTTTTTATCCACGAAAGTCAGTAAAAAGCATAAAAGATTTAATATCGAAGTGATTTAATAAAGAATTAAACTTTTAAATATAACTGTAGACAAATTAAATGATTAGACGCTGGTTTTTATAGCGTTGCGTACCTAGTAACTTTATTGATCAACTTTATTTCTCGTTCAATTCATATTTGTAGTCGTATATAGATCAATTAGACAGGATTTATTAATAGACGAATTATGAAAACGCAAAATTAAGTAAAAATGTAAAATCGAATTCTCGCGCATACAAATGTTCATTACGCTTTTTTAGGTACAAGACAAGAATGCGTAGATTTAAAATATTGAATTTTTCAAGTGTGTAAATTTGTTGAACAGGACCAACTCTTTTATCCACGATCGGACCACTTTACCCGAGTCAACGGGTGCGTTAATCGTTATTTTCGTGCCTGAAACACGGTCCATCGCTCCGTTTACACGGCGGCAACACGTAAATCCGCAAAATGACGGGCGTGTCCCGGGTCCAGTGCATATTTGAGGAGGACCGAGTCACGTCGAGAGCAAAAACAGTGACTTAGGTTTGACACAGAAATGCGTTTACGGAGTGCACCTGCACCCTCCGAAAATTTCAAAGTGACATCAATGCGTAACATGAAAGTTCGAAATAAAAACTCGTCCTCGATGACTAGATTTACGAAAAAACTTAATTTTTGCTAACAAATTTTTAAAACAAGAAAACAAGATCTCTTTAAATACGTAAGTATCCGCGTTGTTTATACGATACACGCGAATAATAAGACATTTTTATATTTTAGAGAATTAATATTTTATATATAATTTTATTATACAATACATTATATATATATATATTCAAATTCGATTTGACTCTACATTTTATATTATATTCTATATTATATACTATATAATATATTTAAATGTTCGCTGTATAATCGTATACAAGATGATTATTTGCCTATGCATGATGCCGTTCAAACAACCGTTGTTGTCATCGAAGGCGATCGACTTTAAAGTTTAATTTTCTTGTTTGCCGGCATACGGAACACTCCGATTGGAAAGATCTGCGGGCAGAACGATGGAAAGCCGCGAGGCGTGCTTTCGAAAGAGCGAGGGGACGATCCGCATCTTTTCGTTCCCCGCGGAATACTCGACAAACCGATGACAACGACCGTCTCTCTTTCTCTCTCTCCCCGATATCCTGCGGGCCCGGATCCCACTTGTACACGTTTTGTAGCAACGGTTCTCCCTCGCCTAATCCATTATTCCGCGTGACCGACCGCAAATGATTTCCGATACATTCGATTTTCGAGAGGCTCGTCGATCGCACGTAGATTATCTCTCCCGCGCGACGCGACGCCGCGCCGGCGGCGCACTCAGATCCAGCGAGGATATTCGGTTCGTTCCACACTCACATCACGGAAAACGAGATCGCAAGAACGAATAATGCGGGTCGCTGGAGTTGTTTGCCCGGGAACACGCTTTATTTCATCATAATAATTCGAAAGGTGGATCCGAAGATTTCTTCTCCGAGAATCTCTCGACTCTGATTGGCGATAGCATCATTCATTCCTGATAAAAATGTCGAAAGTTAACTGCTCCATTCTATCATACACTAAAAACTTCCACCGTTATAAAGGATTCCGCATAATTACCACACGACGAGCCGAGGTAGGAAGTGCTGTTGAATCACGCCGGATTTTTCTTCCGCAATTAATTATTGTCCGGCCACCCTAATTAATTAGTCATTCGATAAGCGTTGAGATCCCCGCGCCAATTAAGACTTCA